CCACTCATTCACAAGCTATTAATATTCTCGTACCACACCCGTCCTCGTACGCGTCTAACTACAGAAACAGACGAGAATTATTCTGATAATCGTACATCAGACACTTAAAAGAACTTTAGACAGCACCATATACACTAACTACTAATAACAATACATTATTGTCGCTTGGCTTTTTTTAGGTTTACACTCGTTTATAACACCAATTGTGGTTTTTGCTTTCCCAACCATAGCCTATGACGGCCGTTCCACTCGACGGAACAGGTGCCTTCCTTTTGCTATATAACTGCATCGATGCTTATTATTTTCTTCTATTGTCCTTTTTAACTTTTGCCACACACACACACACACACACACACACACACGCACCTACAGCCCATATCCATCAGTTGCAGACACTTGAATGTGTGGCCCCACAGAGCCCCACCCTGACATTTTCCTCCCAATTAACCTCTCCTCGTGCCCCAGGGGCTTTCCTACAGACTCATAAACTGAACCCGGAAAGCACAGGCCTTCATCTCCTACTCCCAGCCTCCGACCCCCTACTCGCCGGACCCCAAAACCCTGCCCGAACACTCACAGTTTCCTGGGCTCCTGGCCTCTGCAGCTCTCCGCGCTTCACCCCCGCCTTCCCACCCATCACGTGTAACGTCACGCGTGACGCTAACCATCAGGAGGGGCGGGGGCTACCCCCGGCGCGTCCGCCCTGCGTGCCCAGGGATTGGCAGAACCTGAGAGCAGTGGGTGTCCTTTGGGGCGACGCCCCCAGACTGGGCCACCGGAATCCGGCCCCACGCTACCTCCCAGAGCCAATCCGGGCTGCGGGATCAGTTCTGGCCCCGTCCGCCGCCAGAAAGAGGAGGGGAGGAGCCGTGGGCGCTTGCAATCCCCTGGCTGGCCTCGGGGGGCTCCTGGCCTCGGCCGCAAGGGGTCTAGGTGTCCAGGGCGAACCCTTGCCGGGCGCAGGCGGGCGGCGTGGAGGGGCCGCCCTCTGATGGTGCGCCCGGAGGGGCTCGGGTTACCTCCCGGTCTGTTTACTGGTTGGCAGCCTTGGCAGTGGCTTCAGTCTCCTCGGTCTCCTGGGCTGCTCCTTCCTCGCAGCACCTCGGCCTCCACCCGCCTCACAGGCCTGTTCCGTTCGTGCCCGTGCCCCTTCTTCGCACCCAGTCCATCCCCATCCCCATCCCCATCCTTGTTCTCCGCTGTGACACCTAGCCTCACTAGGTCCCCGGCTTCCTTATGCCCCCAATCCCTATCCCTTGGCCTTAGCCACAGCCCTGGGTGGGAAGGGACAGGGTCTCAAGGTTCTGTCTGCATCAAGCAAGCGGATCAGAAAGGTTCTTCCTCCCCCTAGAGTCCTGGAACCAGCTGCCGCTCCCTGCGACCTTGCCATGACTGGGTGGCCAGGGAGACACTTTTCTAACATAGGAGGAGGATGCGTGTGAAGAAAGCAGCTCACACACACACACACACACACACCCTCATACGCAGACCCCTCACCTCGTCTCAGTACAAGAGGCCCATCCCTAGGCTTCAGTCCACTCCTGCCCACCGCGGGTTCA